AGAAATATCTGGGATTCTTCGTCGTTCAAAAAATCCTCGCTCTTGCTGGGATTGTAAGTAGAACTGGGGCTAATAGTTATCCGGAAATCTTCGTTTTCTCTACCGCCGTGATCTTCACTGTTGTCATAAGCAGCAGTATGACGCCAATCTGGATCGTTGTAGTTGTTGGTCTCCCTGAAACCTGGGGAGGTACTGGAAATGAGGAGTGTCTGGGATTCTTCGTCGTTAGCAGGGCTACGATAATAGTTGTGGTCGCCGTCGTCGCCCTCCTCGTTCACGGATTCTTCGTCGTTCAACAAATCCTCGCTCTTGCTGGGATTGGAAGTAGAAGTGGGGCTAATAGTTATCCGGAAATTTTCGTTTTCTCTACCGCCGTGATCTTCACTGTTGTCATAAGCAGCAGTATGACGCCAATCTGGATCGTTGTAGTTGTTGTCGTTGTCTTCACCGCTCCTGAAATTCTGATTGCATAACTTTACTATATCAGTTCTTTTCAACACTCAAAACCTATAAGTTCAACGATTTGGAGTGAATGGATTTTTCTGAATCATGTTGTTCTTCATAAAAAATTTGGGAAAAGTAGCGCTTAAGATGTTTTCGGAAAAGTCTCCTCGAAAGTTAACACATTCACGACGACGCCCCTTTTCCACTTTTCGGTCGCGTGGGACGGACGCGATTTTGTGGGCGCCGCCGCCTCACCACATAACCGCAGATTTTGTTTTGTAAATGAACAAAAACATGAATGTCACAAAATAATTTCTGCAATGTCCAATGCGTAAAGATTATCTAAACATATAACAGTAGGATTTCGATCAGAACGACAAATAGTGGTTACGAAAAGAGAGCATTTATTCACTTTCCCCGTGAAAGAATTTAAAAGCATTTTACACTCGATTACGAGGTTTGCCCACCTATCTGTCCATTCCTAGCGCCTGGCAAGCGATTATCAGTTGGCAGCCCATATGGGCTGCCATCGTCCCAGGAGCGCATGTTGTTGGCAGCCCATATGGGCGGCCATCGGCGTGAATGTGTTGAAGTTTCTCATGTATTAAGGCCAATGCACGTACAGCAAAAAATTACGAATGGAGAACCTAAGAACTTTTCCTTTTTCATGAAAAGTACCTGCTCGCCCTACTTCTCAAAAGTGATTTTCCACTAAAGTTTCTTCATCAAATTTTATTTTTGATGGATGAAATCGTTAGCTAATCATCAGTTTCGCTTTCACATGTCATGTCAAAAAGAGCTGTCAAGCTTAAAACGTGGAAATCGTCGCAAGGATTTTCTAACCAAGAATTGTTTCCAACTTCCCATGGAACTCTGGTGGAGAGCCAGGCAAATCGGTAGAGTACTGAATACTATTCACAGATATGTAGACCAAAACTGCTATGCGACCTTTCTAGGCAAGTTGTGAGCGGTCAAAGTTGGCAAAGAAATGCAGTAAAAAAGTGAGTTGCGGCACCAAACTGGCGCCAGATCGCCTCTGTCTCAAAAATGAATGTCATATTCGTGACCAGGCCATCTGTTTACCCCTACAGTTACTGTTTCAAGAAAATCTAAGACAAAAAAGCCGATGTGTGAGATTTGGGTTGAAACTACCTCCCCTTCAAAAAGCGAGAAAGTGTCGGGTGCAGACCATGCACCACAAGTGACGACGGCCTCCACAAAATGTAAATGTTTTCTGCCAATGATTAGCCTGTTGCAGTTGTATTCTATCAGTTGTCACTAATTACAACTATCATTTACCAGAAATCAGCTATCACTATGAACAACTTCTAACCAGATTTACTTGGAGGCCGTCGTCAGTTGTGGTGTTTGGTCTGCACCCGACACTTTTTCGCTTTTTGAAGGAGAGTTATGTATATGTTGACTATTCTCCGACTATCTCGCATGATATGCAAGTAAGAAGGGAATCTTGAATTTTATCATCGCTTGTTCATCAAAAATTTTGCATTATAAGAAAGGGCTCCATCTTTGCCAATTTTGGAAATCGAGACATCTTTAAAATCTGATTTTTTTTGCAAATGCTTTTTTGTGCTCAAGAATCTCTAAGGTCACTTTTAATTTGAAAATGTAACTCGGTTTCGAAGAGGCTCCTTGTCGAAAATGGTCTACCATTTGTAGAACACCTTTTTCGACACGAAACCTCCGCAAAAATCGAGTTAACTTCTGCAGAGGATACCAGTACTTATTTTGATCACTAAAATACAAATCAGCTTCCATTATTTTTGGTGCAAAGTTAGCCGCGGGGGATGTAGATGTTTGATCTTCGGGAACGATAGGCGCGCATATTGCGCTGTTTGTCTGAGTTGATGTGATGACGTTCTTCTTGTCATTCTCGCTATTATTCAATTGAAAAAAATTATCCGCCGTTTTCATTTCACTCACAAGTTTATTAACAAAACCAAACAAATTAGCAATAAATTAGTAATCAGCAATCGCTCTCGAACAGTCTCCTCTGTCTCACTGATTCCCAGGCTTCCTTGATCTTTGCTTTTTGTATTTTTATACAGCAAGCAATTCCGTTTTAGCTCAGTATTGTTGTAATTCGAATACACGAAGTGCAGCATGACAACTCTTTCTGAGTAAGCTCCATCCTGAATCAAATTTACACAATTGACACAACTATTAAAATGTGACAAGAGATTGCGCTACTTTCGACTACATTCAAATTTTCCAAATATCGAGCAAAAAATCAAAGTCATGAGCCTGCAAACAATGAAAAAAAACGCGCGATTACTTTGTTTCAACTTAATTACATTCCTCTCCGCACCAGTATTTCAAAAATTGTCGCAGCATGGCCCACTCTAAAATTAGTTCTGCACTTTAAAGGAACGAAATTGACGATATAGAATGAAAGGTCAAGACAATTCAACCTAGATAGAGGGGCCCGCGGTCCTCACTAAGATGTAGACTAAAGCGCACTGCACCGAACGAGTGTCCTCAGCAATCTATCAAGCAACAATCTTTGCCCGCGGCGGTCAACTGCACGCCCCAACCAACCAGCTGATTGCTCGCCGTATGTCTATGCGTGGCGATTACCAATAGGGAGAGAGCGTAGTGTTGAAGAGGGCACAGCGATGAGAGTCGCATCAATGCTCGAATCAACGGGCAAGGAAGGGGTCCCATTTCTCGGGTTCTGGGCCGTTTCTCATGGTTCTTCCTTCTTTCGTGTACCACTCACCATCCCTAGGTTAATTTGAAATGGGTTGCTTTTTCAGCGTGAATTCGTCCTTTAAGTTTTTGAGTGGTGATAGTTTTTGTTTTATCCTACTTCATTTCTACTTCCGACCTCAGCATTATTGTTGTCATAATTATTAATGTTGTTATTATTATTGATAGAATGGTACTAGCTCAGACCTCAAATCACTGTAGTCACTCCAGAGACTTTCACGTCGCGAGTTTTCAGAGTGACATTTTAGAGGATCGCAATTCCCATAGAAACAAATAGCGCACGGACACCTGACGCTAGCAGAACCAAACCGATGGTGCCTTGATCTATGTCCCCCGCATCGATGACGACTGCAAGGACACCAACAACTGAAATGGCGGCGAGTTTCATCTGAAATTATGCTCATATTGCCTGAACTCAGCTGATGCACAAGTACAGTAAGAACAAGAAGAAATTTGTTCAAATGGTGGAGATAGGTTTTATTGCATTTATAAGTATTTTAGAACAGCTTATTTTATTCACGGGAGACTGGAATGATCGGAAGGGAGACATTTTGTTATTTTTCGATCGTTTTCCCGCATATCCATTATTATACAGCTAATTGAATGCAATCGAATACGGTCAACTTGTGAAAATTTCGCTATTCTAACGCGCCAAATCGCACCTAAGCACTCACCTCTCCGTATATGAATTACACAAACAACCCGTTCCCTCACCTCCAGTTACTACAAGTCAAGGCAACACAAACGATCGTTTATGAAGAA